CAGGTCCTCACGGTGGAATTGCTCACACACTGACCTCACAGCTATGGAACCACTCTCTGCCCCATGGTAATTTATCTCTTCATGTGTTAGCCTGTCAGTATTTCCACAGTATACAGCACACACAGAGTAGGTGCTCACTGAATGTCTGATGAAAAGATAGATACATAGAGCTCTTCATTCTTCTGCTAAACATCCCTAGTTTGTTAATTAAATACGTATCATGTTTTTTAAAGACCTCCAGAGAAAAATATTCTATTCCTAAATCAAAAGCCCATTCTAATGTTAGATGTAGGCTTTTAAAAAAAAGTGAAGATAGCTGTAATAATTCTGCACTTAACTACTTGATGGCTTTTGGAAGCGCTGTCCATCCAGAACATCGACCAAATGGAAAAGTGGTCAAAATGGTCTCCTGAGGAAGAAAATGGAACAATGCCTCCCTCGGGCTCTCATCCAGAACTTATGAACTCAAGACATGTTGAAAATAAGGTCACTAATTTAACAGGATTAACCATGGGATTCTTAGAGGATAGACGAGACATGGATAGTATCAGCTATAAGGAAGTGAACAGAAACACACAGGAATCACGGGTGATCACCTGGTGATTGACACCCACCCCCACCCATCCCACTAGCCATGTGATCACAGTCCCCTTGCAATGACTGTTTAGAAATGGGCATGTGGCCTAACCCCAGCTGATTAGAGGCAGGAAGAATTCTACTGGGGGATTCGAGGAAAGGTTCTCTCTTAAGAAAGAAACACGGTGAAATGACAGCCTCCTTTCTCTGGACAATGTCTTCTCTGGGTGGGATGCCGGAAGTGACTGCAGCCATTGCAACCATAAGGAGGCCAGTCCAGGGACAAAGTCACACACCAAGGGGGACAGTGCAGCAAGATGGGGAAACTTCGGTCACTGATGATTGCGGAGCTACTGAGTCAACTGACCCAAGAGCTCTGTCTCTGGAGTTCTTGTTTTCAAAGAAAACAGATTTCTTTACTCTTTAAACCAACTTAAGTTAAGGTTCCTGCTGCCTATAGCTAGAGGCATCCTGACAGAGATAGAACACAAAAAGGAAAGAACCCCCAGGTATTAATTACATTACATTAATTATATTACATTTAATGCTTTGGCATTAAAATGGATATGTTGACTCAACTTTGGTCATATTGATTTTATACATTAAGAAGCATAGTTGTGTGATTTATTATAGTATATAACAGGACTAGAAGTGGGGTGAGTCACCACGTCTGCTCTCTGGACAGGTCCTTGCCAATAAATTTGAAAATGAACTTGTTAGATAAGAGAAGAAATTGATTCTGCGTATTTGAATAAAGAACTTCTTATATGTTACTAGCATTTTACCAATCAATCGATCCACCTCGACCATAACAGGGGACTTTCACTGTTAATTCTCTCTATCCTGACGACATACAGTTCATTCCACTCACACCTCTCAACAGCAAGATCAAGAAGCTGAGATCTCTCTCCCTCCAAAGCTTGAGAGGCGAAGTGTATGTGACAAGCAGAAAACAAGTTCAGAGAATTTGAGGCCATGAATCCACTGCTTTGCTTAGAAAGTCATCTAAGTTGTCTGCTCATGTTACTTCACAGGAAATGAAACTATAATCTATTCAAAGAGTTTGTGTTATTTTTAGCCAATCCCAGCTACCCACTTCAATCTGTTCATTTTTAAAGGTTTATATGGGTTTTAGCATTTGCATTGGAATATCATTGAAATTATAAAATAGGACATAATAATCTATAAATAACATAACCCAACTGAAAACAAGAATGAAGAAGGTTAATTAGAGTGGTATTATGTTAAATAGAATTACTTTTTAAAAGGTCTCAATTTTTGCACCTTTAATGACTCATGAAGAACTACACTTGGGGCACCTGGGTGGCTCAGTAGGTTGGGTGGCCAGCTCTTGATTTCAACTCAGGTCATGATCTCAGGGTCCTAGGATTGAGCCCTGCCTTGGGCTCTGTGGTCAGCAGGGAGTCTGCTTGAAGATTCTCTCTCCCTCTCCCTCTGCCCCTCCCCCCACTCTCACACTCATTCTCTCTCTCACTCTCTCTAAAATAAATACTTAAATCTTTGAAAAAGAAAAAACCACAATTAAGTTTACAATGTTCACACTCTGACTACAGCTGCCCTGTAACTCTACTCCTAAAATGATGCTTCCCGTGAAATACTTACTGAAATCTGTATTGGTTTCCTATTTCTGCTGTAACAAATGACCACAAACTTAATGGCTCAAAACAACACAAATCTATCATCTTACAGTTCTGCAGGTCAAAGGTCTGAAATGGGTCTTGAGGGGCTAAAATCAAGGTGTCAGCAGGGTTGCATTCTAGAGGTTCAAGGTTCAAGGGGAAAGTCCATTTCCTTGCCTTTTTAAGCTTCTGGAGGCTGCTAGCATTCCATGGCTTGTGGCCACATCACTCTGACCTCTGCCTCTCTCATCACATCTCTTTCTCCGACTCTGACTCTCCTACCTCCCCCTTATAAGGACACCTGTGATTATATTGGGCCCACCCAGATGATCCAGAATAACCTCCCCAGTTCAAGATCTTTAACTTAATCACCTCGCTAAAGTCCTTTTTGCCAGGTAAAAGTTCCAGAGATTAGGACACAGACACTATTCTACTTACCACAAAATCCATCACAAGTAGGAGAGGTTTTCTGTCTCATCTGACCTCAGAGTATTTAGAAAACTGTATCAATTAATATTGATCCAGAAGTTATTACTGGTTGTGAGTTACTAGGAGAGATACTCCTGTCACTCTAAGAAAATGTTGATGAGCAAATAAAATTCTAGCCCCAGACACTACTCAAACACAGTCTTCCCACAGTAGGGGGGCGGGGGGAGAGAACAGCCTGGAAGATTTGTTCCTTGTTTTGGTTCCCAGGAAACTCAGTGCTAAAAACATGTTGATAAAATGAATTTACCAGGAAAGGAAGTAACAGTAAAAGGTAAGGGACTTCTGGGGAAATGGTAAATCATTATAGTAAGAGAAACTCGGATATATTAAAAAAAAAAAAATCTCAGGACTTGTGGGAATCACCTTTAAAAACATAACAAATCACTAAATTGGTATCTCTAATTTAAGAATACTTAGCTGTGCACGGGGGCTGGAATCAGGAAGCAGCACAGGAAGACAATAAAACTGGCTTCCATATTTCTGCTTCACCTTCTTATAACCTACTTTTATTATAAAACTCACCCTCCCCGCGTTGAAACCTTTATGAAGTGGGTTCTGCTCTAATCAAAGAAAGGCACCACTCTTGCTTTTCTCTCTGTCCCTGGGGCCATGCAAGTTCCAGGAACAGAGCAGATGCTCAGTTAGGTTTGTTGGACGAATTAATTAACCAAATCGAAAGGACAGTTCATCAAAAAAAGGCATTCCTCCTTAGACCGTAAACCTTTAAAAGTTTTATCAAATCCAATTTCAGCTTTAAAACAAAGGAGGGGGGCTGAGGTGCCTGCATGGCTCAGTCAAAGTGTCTGCCTTCAGCTCAGGTCGTGATCTTGGGGTCCTGGGATCGAGCTCCACATGGGGATCCCTGCTCAACCGGAAGCCTACTTCTCCCTCTCCCTCTGCCCCTTTCAGCCCCCATCACTCATATGCACGCATATGTGCTCTCTCTCCCTCAGAGAGATACACAGATAGATAGATGATAGACAAAATCTTTTTTTAAAAAAAAGAGCTTATTGGGTGCCTGGGTGGCTCAGATGGTTAAGCGTCTGCCTTCGGCTCAGGTCATGATCCCAGAGTCCTGGGATCGAGTCCCGCATTGGGCTCCCTGCTCCTTGGGAGCCTGCTTCTCCCTTTGCCTCTCTTTCTCTCTCTCTCTCCCCCTCTCTCTGTCTCTCATGAATAAATAAATAAAATTAAAAAAAAAAAGATTTAAAAAAAAAAAGAGCTTATTTTAAACTACACAATCATGCAATAACCTGACACAGCGATTTTCCAGCTCTGCACTCGTATTAATGCACTCACCCTTTCTCACCACAGATCTAAAAGAGAGTTTTCATGAGAAAGAAGAATGATCTTTAAGAAATCATATGCAATAGGATTCGAAATTGGACATTTCAACCGAGGCACCACAATACAAGAGTATGATGTTCCAGAGCAAAGTTCCAGACCAACATTGAAATTTTTAATGAAATCGCCCAACACTGATTATATGACTTTTAACCCTAACCTCTGCTGCACTGAAGGTTATAAATGGGGCTAGCTGTTAAAGACTCAGAGAATTTCAGAGAGGGCATTTCTCTGGAGAAGAAGAAGGCCTCAAGGAATCACCCAGAGCCTATAGCATCTCTCCAGAAAAAGCCAAGAGGAGACAGATGGGGAAGCTTCCCTGCTGACCAAGAAGAGAGTGTCTGAGATGAGGTCAGACTGCATCCATGGAGCCTCCCGAGGATAATTCGGGCCATGCCCAAGAGAGAGCAAGCACATGGGTGTCTGGACACTGACTGCTGAACTGAGCCTGTATCTGACAACCAAATGCAGCCTTAAGAGGAAACAGAAAAGCGACAAGACTGCCGAGCACTCGCTCAGAGGTGGGGGAAGAATTTCTCCTAGGGAGCAAATTCCACAGCGACAGAAGGTAACACCAGATATTTGTTTTCTGACTTCAGACCATTCACGCTGCTTGTTCAGCACACTGGTTACTCACGTCTTCTCCCCATTTGGAAGTCCTCCCATAAACCTAGAGTTGTCTTCCAGCTGGGAAGGAAAGAGGGAATTCCTTCCAAAAACTAGGTAACTGTGCTCTTGGTGGGCAGCTGGAGACTGTTTGGAGCCTGGCTATTTAAGAGCACTAAATATAAATATATAAGAAAAAACTGAAGACTTTTTCTGAAATGAACCATCCATAAACATCACCAGAAAATCCATTTTGCTCCATAATCGATGCCAAGAAAGAAAGCTGCCACCTTAGAAAAATAAAAGAGGGAGAGGGAGGAGGAAGGAAACACGCATGACTCTTACCCAGGCCCTGATTCTGCTGTTCCCACTTGATGGCGTCTGGCACCTGGTAGGTAGCTCCATCCAAAGGGCCCAGGTTTCCCTGCTCTGAGCCAGGTTCTTGAGACGCGATGCCAGGGAGAGTGAACCCAGGCAGTTCAGCGTCACCGTCCAAGCTCTCATCCAGGGACTCTGCGTCTTTATCTTCTTCATCTTCCTCCTCATCTTCCTCTTCTTCATCTTCCTCCTCCTCATCCTCTTCATCCGCATCTTCTTCTCCCTCTAGGAAGAAAAGAAATCAACAGGAAACACGAAGGAGTACAGTAAGTGCCTACATATGAATCTTTTGAAATGACCCAAACACTACAAAATAATTGCGCTTGACCTTTGGAAACAAATTTTATAGCCGAAGTTGGGCGATGTGGGCCTTGCAGGATTATGTGCTCACCACATACCTATGTTTTAAACTTTCAAAATCACAGTTGTGTCAGATCATTAGTACGCAGCATGTTTATTTGGAGTCAAAGTTCAGGTAATATAAATTTTTAGTAGTCAGATTTATATTTACAAAAGTAGAAAATATCCCTTCCCTGTTTTCTGGAGGCCATTAAAGACGGACCCACTAGGTTAATATACAAAATATATAAAGAATTTATACAACTCAACACCAGAAAAACAAATAATCCAGTTAGAAAATGGGCAGAAGACCTGAATAAACAGTTTTCCAAAGAAGATAAACAGATTGCCAACAAACATAAAAAGATGCTCAACATCACTAATCATCAAGGAAATACAAATCAAAACCACAATGAGATATCCCCTTACACCTGTCAGAATGGCTAGAAACAAAAAGACAAGCAAGTGTTGGTGAAGATGTGGAGAAAAAGGAGCCCTCGTGCATTGTTGGTGGGAACGCAAAATGGTGCAGCCACTGTGGAAGATGGGTATGGAGAGTCCTCAAAAAATTAAAAATAGAAACCCTATACGATCCAGTAATTCCACCCAAAGAAAATGAAAACATTAATTCAAAAAGATATATGCACCCTACGTTTATTGCAGCATTATTTACAATAGCCAATATATGGAAGCAATCCAAGTATCCAAGGATAGATGAATGGATAAAGGAGAAGTGGTATATATAAATACCATGGAATGTTACTCAGCCATAAAAGGGGTGAGATCTTGCCATTTGCAATACATGAATGGACCTAGAGGGTATTATGTTAAATGAAATGAGTCAGACAGAGAAAAACAAATACCATATGATTTCACTTACATGTGGGATCTAAAAGCCAAAACAAATGAATAAACAAACAAACAAAAAGCAGAAACAGACCCATAAATACAGACAACAAACTGATGGTTGCCAGAGGAAAGAAAGGATGGGGGATGGGCAAAATGGGTGAAGGGGAGTGGGAGATACAGGCTTCCAGTTATGGAATGAATAAGTCACCGAGATAAAAGGTACAGGATAGGGAATACAGTCAATGGTATCGGAATAGCATTGTATGGTGACGGGTGGTAGCTACACTTGTGATGAACATAGCATAACATATAGACTATGTTGTACACCCGAAACTAACGTAACATTGTGTGTCAACTATACTTCAATTAAAAAAAAAAAAGATTTGCCCATTAGAAAGCACAATAAAATACTAACAGAACTTAGAGTGTCCCAATCCTTTTGTATCTTATAATAGTAAACAAGAAAATTCATCGTTTGGGCACAATTTTCCTTTTATTCTTCTTCCATATCAGTGAGTAGAAGTCACAACATGTTAAGTGAGAGGTACATATATCCACTCCTGGCTCCTGTTGGAAGATTGACCCAAGAAAGTGGAAATGATTACATCAACATTCTCAATTCCACTCTAAAAGAGGTTAGGAAATAGGATATTGATCAAAGACAGTCAGAGAAGCACACCAGAAAAAAACGTTATCATTACCATCATCGTAAGAGTTCAATTCACAATTTGTCACATTCAATGCTTTAAGCGGAGTAGGTGTAGGAAACGTAGGATCCCCAATTTTACTTTGTTTCACCAATTTTCTAGGAATACTTCGAGGCTCCCCCCTCACCATGGATGCACCCTGAAGCCCCTGATGAGAGCTCACAAAGCTCACCGAAGGCCTTGCCCTTGGCCTCTTGTCTTGGCTCTCCACACAGCAGTTTGCAAAAAGGAACTCTCCTGGGATGGTGGAGAAGGAAAGAGGGAGGATTAGAGCCACCCAGGAATTCTGAGACTCTCTTTTTCTGCTTCTAGACAATGTTGTCCACACACATTCCTTTGTACTTCTTGTTTACAGGGGTTTTTTTTAACTTTTAAAAAATATTACATCTAACCTTTTCATTCCTATATATCCTCTAATTTCGTACGACTTAATACCTCTCGCTATTCCAAAAATTCAATGACTATCAAGGACCCAGTTCCGGGCACTAGGAATAAAACAGCACTGTCTCTGCCTTCGTGGAGCTGACAGGCCACTCAAGGAGACACATAGCACACACATAGAGATATAATACAACACGACACTCTGATTAAAACCGGAAAGAAGATGGAAAATGGCAGGCTCTGCTTTTTTGGATGGGGAGATCAAGGAAAGCTTTTCTGATAAGGTAAAGTTTGAACAAAGATTATACCAAAATAATGAATGCTCTTGTTTAATTTAGGTCAATATCTACAGGAGGAACATTCCCAGCAGCAGGGAACAAAAGAACAGCAAAAACAAAAGTCTTGAGGCAGATGTGTGCTGTGTTCAAAGAATGGCAAAGACTGGCCTGGGAGCAAGAAGGGACAGGAAATGAGGTGGGAGGGGTAGGAAGGGGTCAGATCTAATATATATTTACAAGGAATGATGGGCTTCAGGGTGAAAAGCAGGCTATATCAGAGCAAGAGACAAAGCAAAGAGACCCATTGGGAGGCTATTTCCCAAGCCAGGGAATAAGAAGATGGTGCTTTGGATGATCTGGGAGTAATGTGAAGGTAATTTGAAGGCAGAGCCCTACTGATAATTACAATGTGGGATGTGGAAGGAAGATCTCACTTTATTAAAGATGGAAACGAAAGGGTAAAGAGCAAAATCAAGAATTTTATTTGAGACACATTAATCATGTGATTCCTATGCCTATAATTTCCAAGTGGAAATGCTGGAAGCCCAGGGAAGATCAAAGCTAGAGATAAAAATCTAGGACTCATCGAAGGGCGCCGGGGTGGCTCAGTTGGTTAAGCGACTGCCTTTGGCTCAGGTCATGATCCTGGAGTCCCGGGATCGAGTCCCACATCGGGCTCTCTGCTCAGCAGGGAGTCTGCTTCTCCCTCTGACCCTCTTCCCTCTCGTGCTCTCTATCTCTCATTCTCTCTCTCTTTCAAATAAGTAAATAAAATCTTTAAAAAAAAAATCTAGGACTCATCGATTTAGAAATAATATTTACAGCCTTGAGACTGGCTGAGATCACCATAAGAATGAGTGAAGATAGAAGGAAAAGTGGTCCAGTCTAAGCCCCGGGCAATCGAACATTTTAGAAGTTGGCCAGCAGAGGGTGATCCAGCAAAGGAGACGGAAAAGTGACCACCGAGGTGGGAGAAAAACCAAATGAGTGTGGTGTGGACAGCGTCAAAGGAATAAAACACTTCTGAGGGCCTGAGTAAGAAAACTGAGACTGTCCCTCCGACGTTGATATTACCTCTGGCTTTGACACTTTGGAAGTGATTAGTGACTTTAACCTAAGTTGTGTGGTGGAATGGTAGGAAGACTAGAGTAGTTGAAAAGAAAATTAGAAAAAAAGAAAGTAGATACAGCAAATATTAAAACAAAAAAAAACCTTACAAAACTTTTTGAAAAAAAGAACAGGGACAACAATAGCCAAACTATGAAAAGAGCCCAGATGTCCATCGACAGATGAATGGATAAAGAAGATGTGGTATATATGTGTGTGTGTGTGTGTGTGTGTGTGTGTGTGTGTGTGTGTGTGTGTGTAATGGAATATTATGCAGCCATCAAAAAATGAAACATTGCCATTTGCAACGATGTGGATGGAACTAGAGGGTATTATGCTAAGTGAAATATGTCAATCAGAGAAAGATGATTATCATATGATCTTACTCATATATGAAATATCAGAAACATAATAGAGGATCATAGGGGAAGGGAGGGAAAAATGAAACAAGATGAAACCAGAGAGGGAGACAAACCATAAGAGACTCTTTTTTTTTTAAGATTTTATTTATTTATTTGAGACAGAGAGAATGAGAGATAGAGAGCATGAGAGGGGGGAGGGTCAGAGGGAGAGGCAGACTCCCCGCTGAGCAGGGAGCCCGATGCGGGACTCGATCCCGGGACTCCAGGATCATGACCTGAGCCGAAGGCAGTCGCTTAACCAACTGAGCCACCCAGGCGCCCCCATAAGAGACTCTTAATCATAGGAAACAAACTGAGGGTTGCTGGAAGGGAGGGGGGTGGGGGATGGACATTAAGGAGGGCACATGATGTAATGAGCACTGGGTGTTATATAAGACTGATGATTCACAGACCTGTACCTCTGAAACCAATAATACATTAAATGTTAATTAATTGAATTTAAATTTTTAAAAATGTTAAAAAAAAAAAGAACAGGGATAGAAGAGGGTAGCTGGAAGGAGATGTAGGGCCCAGGGTACCTTCTCAAAATAGGAGATACTAGAATTTGCTTGGAAGTTACGGGTGAGATCTGGTAGAGAGGGGGCAATTGATGGTCAGGAGACAGGGGACAGGGCTGCTGGAGGAAGGTCTGGAGATGAGGCTTGGCGAGCAGTTGCACATGTGGATCTGAGCCACGCAAATGTAGTGTGGCTGTGTGACTGTGGACAAGTTACAGTGCCTCGGCTTCCTCATTGGTAAAACTGGGGTGATTCCTACCTCACAGGGCTGCTGTAGGATTCCATCAGTTAGTATGTAAGGTACTTAGGACTAAGCCAGGCTCACCATGGCCACTCTGTGAGGTTGGTTTCTTTGCTATGGCAGAGAAGGGATGGGATCCAGGGCACAGGCTGGCTCAGACCCATCCTCCACTGCAGTGGGCTCAGGGGCAGGCAGGAGGACAGACCTGGGGGTGGGAATATGTGAAAGTTGTCTTCATATTTCTTTTATTTTCTCAGTCAAATAAGAAACTAAGAAGGAAAAAAGAAACGTTGGCGGTCTGAGGCGAGAGGAGAAAGTGTGAAACAGTCATCTTGGAGAATGGACAAGTGAATTCCCCAGGAAAATGTGGGAGGACTGGCAGGCAGCCCTGTGGGCCCACTTGA